AGGAAGGAAGGAAGGAAGGAAGGAAGGAAGGAAGGAAGGAAGGAAGGAAGGAAGGAAGGAAGGAAGGAAGGAAGGAAGGAAGGAAGGAAGGGAGAGAAAGAAAGAGAGAGAGAGAGAGAGAAAGAGAGAGAGAGAGAAAGAGAGAGAGAGAGAAAGAGAGAAAGATTATCTGAGAAATTAAACAAAAAGGGCCACGAGGCTGAGCGGGCTGCAGTGCTGCGGGAGCGGGCGATGCTCCGGGGGCTGGGTGCTGTGTGCTGAGTGCTGTGCCCCCCCGCCGCATCCCGGGCTATAAATAGTGCAGGAAAGCAGTCGCGGTGCTGCCACGAGGCTTTGGCAGTCCCCAAAAGCCATCGGCAGGGGGGAGCGTGACAGCGTGCGGGGCAGTGACCGCACTCCCATCCCCATTTTCCGGCGCGGATTGATCCCCTCGGCGGGCAGCGGCTGCAGGACACGGCGGAGGTGCGTTTTGCTGAGTGGCTGCTTTTTAAAAATAACTCTGCCTTTGTCAGCAGGTCAGGGCTGCTCCAGATTGAAGGATCGCAGCCGCCCATCCCTCCCCTGCTCCCCTCTTTTGGATGCTCTGGGGAATGCTGGACCGCCGCATCCCGCGCTGGGAATGCTCCCACATCCCTCGTGCATCACCATCCCCAGGCGCTGAGTGGGGGATGCGTGAGTCCACGTCCCCCAAACCCCACCTGGAAGCTGCCCCTCCACCCACGGGGTTGGGGAGGAATGGGGGCACACGGGCACGGAGCTGCCAGCGTCCGCTCAGCTGAGTCACGCGGTGATTACGCCCTAAATGCGAGCGCGTTCGTGCAGGGATGAGAGATGCTCACATGAGGCAGCACGGGGAGCTCCGCGCTCTCCCCCCTCCAGCAGCTGAGGGCTGTGCCCCATCCACCGCTGCGGCAGAAAGGAGCAGATTCAGCCGGGTTTGGTTGGGAGTAGGGAAAATGCACCAACACAGGGACCGCAGCAGAGTGATGGATGTGGATGGGAAAACCTGATGGGCAGAGTGGGGGCTCTGAGGGACACCGGAAGGAATGGGCAGCGGACACAGGGGCTGAGGGCAGGGAAGCAGCTCCGTGGGTTTGTCCTCCCTGCTGTGTCCGTGGGGTTATGCTGTACCCAAAGGGCTCAAAGGAAAATGGGAACAGGGTGAATGGTAGTGCTGCGCAGCCCACGGGGATGCAGGGCACACAAGGGCTCTCAGTCCCCATTGGTGACTCTTTGGGCACACTGAGGAGCAAACACTGAGAGAGGCTCTGAGCCTGCTGGGGCTGTCCTGCCATAGGGAATGGCCCCGTGTGCCCTAACAGCAGAGCAGTGGCAGCTCGGTGTCCTTGCACACACATCCCTGAGCCAGAGCCCTGTGCCATCCTCATGCCACCCCCACGCAGTCCTTGACCTGTCCCCATCCCATCCCATCCCATCCCATCCCATCCCATCCCATCCCATCCCATCCCATCCCATCCCATCCCATCCCATCCCATCCATGTTCCATTCCCACGCAATCCTCATGCTGCCCCTGTGCTGTCCCCACTCTGGCACTCAGCTGAACCATCCAAACCCTTTGTGCTCCCTGGACCCTTCACAATCACCCCCTTTGGCTTTGTGGGGTCAACACCAGGGACAGGGCAAGGACAAGGATATGGGGTTCCAGCCCTCCTCCTCACCCCACTGGCATTTGAGATGTGAGAAGGGACATGGCAGCCTCAGTTTTAGGAGAGATTTGGATGTGCCTATGTCCTCCTTCTGCTCAACACCTCTCTGCATGCAAAGGGGCCTCATCAAGATCAGGATGGATGTGGGTCGTACAGTCCCCATGTCCTTCTGCCAAGATCCCCAAAAGGCAGAGCTGCAGAAACCTCTCCAGAGGGCTCTCCCAGCCCTCCTTCATCACTTCTTCCCATCCAACCCAATCCCCCTCCCCACCTGTCTGGCACCATATAAGACCTGAGCGGCCCCAGCTGCCTTTGCGGGGCTCCTATCTCCCTAATTCTGTCTTAAAACAGACCCGTGGCTGCTCATCCTGCTGTGCCAGCACTCTTCTGCTCCATCCTGGGATAAGGGCTGAAAGCGCTGGGGATGATGCAGGGCAGGGTCAGATGGTGCAAACGGAGCCCATGAGTGGTGGCAGAGGATCTTGGCTGCGTGTTATTAATGGGGGTGAGAGCAGGGCAAACCCTACAGAAATCCCATAAGGATGCTGCAGTGTTCCTGAAGGAAAGTGGAAAGGAGAAGTGAGAACGTGAGCAGCAGTGACCTGAGCACACAGGGCAAGCGCTGGGGGGAGCACCTGGCAATAGGAATGGCTCAGCATCGCTCGGCGCTGAGCCCCACAGGGTGGGGATGTGGGGCCGGCACTGATGGCCCTGTCCCGATAAGCCCGCCCCGAGCTGCAGCAGCTGCAGATAACAGCTCTGCGTCTGCACCACGCTGATACCCCGGTGCTGACCTCTCCCTTGGGGCTCAGCCCCACCACCTCCAGGTCTCATCCCAGAACTCCCCCTGGAAAAGCAGGATGCATCTGCACTGACCAGCAGGGACATTGCCACACCGTGCCTCCCCCCTCTGTTCTCTTGAGGCTTGGGTGAGAATCCACTTTGCCTCAGACCCCGCATTCTGGGGGAAAAGTCATTATTTTATGAAGCTGAGATCTCCCAACTGGGATGAAATCCACCCCGAAGCCCTGCAAGAGCCATCAGCACCGCAGGTCGGGGGGGAAGCAGCTGCTTTGGGGATTATTAATGAGCAGCGAATGATGGGAAAGGCGAGGATCAATCGGAACAAAGGAGTTCAATGGCAGAAAGAAACACTCGCAGAGTAATGGGAGTCCATTTCTCCTGCCGACTGTCGGAAGCGCATCCTGTTAAACATCCATCAATTATCCCAGCTTGAAAATGCATTAAAGTAATGAGGAATTATCCATCAGATACACTTAAAGGCAGTGCCCCTCTCTGCCCACCACCCTGCAAAGAGCCTCTCCAGGAAGGGAAACGGCCGGTTGGCAGTGAGGAACAGCATTTTCCCAACCTCCTTCAGGACCCACATTTCCCCTATACTGCCCTGTGCCTCATTTCCCCACCCAGTGCTGCCCACACTGCACCCACACTGTGTCCATGGCGTGACCCCAACACCTCTTTTTCCAGGAAAGGAAGCAGAGGTTAATGCAGTGTGTGTGCTGGTAGCAAAATTCCCCCAAACCAATCCTTCCCTGTTTCCAGGTTGGCCCCACGTTTGAACAAGGATGGCACAGAGGCGGGAAGGGGCTCTGCTGCAAGGGCTGGAGTGAGGAGCTGAGATAACTGCTAGGCTGAATGTAGCCAGCAATGAAAAGCATCCAGCTGGCAGCATAACTTGGGATTGCTCTCAGTGGGAAGGGGAACTGACCCCAGTGGGGTCAGGATGAGCCTATTCCCTCTGAACAGGTTCACCAAGAGACTGGAGTACAGCGGTCAGATGGGCTGGATCTGAAAAAATCAGAGATGAGTTCAGGGTGGTGGCTGGCTTTAGGCTGAGGGCAGCGGCCCCAGGACTGCAGAGTGGGATCAGCCCCCATAGGTAAAAGGCTTTCCCCATTTGGCGCAGGGCTTCAGGGCAGTCTGGGACCTTCCCCTCCATATCTGCAAGTGATGCTGCTCACTGTGCAGCTGGGGGTGGCCAGACATCCCAGGGACAGCAGTGTGACCACAGCATTTCCTTAGGGAACAGGGGAACGTCCCACTCCTGAGCTCCTCTTCCCTGGGGCAGATCTCATTTTCCCAAACCTCTGGCTTTGGCTCGCTGATAACAGCCTGCAGCTGCTCAGGGCAGCGAGTGCTGCAGGTGGCGATGGTCAGTCACTGCCATTAGGTGTCACAAGAGCATCGGGTCTCTGCTCCTCCTGCAAAGAGGAGTGGTGGATGGGAGGAGAGGGGTGGGGAGCAGAGGTGGCACCTCGGAGGCCCCTAGGCGGGGGACAAGCACTGAGAGGCAATCTTGCGGTGTCACCATCATCCCCTCCCTTATCACCCAATGGCTGCACATCTGCCCCAGCCCCACGGCTGGGCTGTTCCTGTGAAATTGTGCCCCCGGTGCTCCCCAGGGAGGGATGCTCTGGAGTTTCCCATGGAGGGGCTCCCCCTCTCGTGGTGTTCCTGCCCTGCGCCCACCCTGCGCCCACCCTGCACAGTCCCAGCCCCGGGGGCAGCTGCAGGGCTCAGATAACCTTCCAGGAATTTCGATTGTTCACCCAAACGCCGTTTTTCCATCTTTCATTTAAAACTGAGCTGAAACAAAGCACCGTCCAGAGCTCGGCGCCTCGATAAGGCTCCAGTGGGAAAAAAACCTTTCTCCCCAAGGCCGGGCACAAAGCTGCAGCGAGCTGATAAAGCCGAGAGCACAGGGAGCATCCCTACCCCTTCCATGCCTCCAAATATAGGTGGCAATGCAGGAGAGCCGTGGGGCAGCCCTGGGTGGTCTCCAGCCTTGTGTCACCTCTGCAGCCAGACGCCACGAGGATGGCCACCCTTTGGCCAGATGCGTGTTTCTGTGCAGGATGGGGTCCTGAAAGCATCATGCCCCCCCCGGCCAAACAAACCCAAGCTCTGTAGCGCTGCGCTTGGCTGGGAGCACCGTGCACAGCATAGCAGGGATGCTTTCCCCACAGCTGGCAGTGCTGGGGTGTCCTCAAATAGGGGAGGGCAATGTGGGCAGTTAGTGGGAAATGCGCCTCCTCCCAAGGGCCTGCAGGGTTCCTCTTTGGCCGTTTCTGCAGAATCACAAAGAGGAAGGACCCCCATAGCAGCCCCACGTCACAGTGTTGGGCTACGCTCTGTGGGGGTTGGGACACCACTGCTTCTGCCCTGCGCTGCTTTAGGGCACACTGCTCAGAGCTGCCCTCACCCTGAATGTTTCCCCTTCACTTTCCAATTTGAGCCCTTCAAATCCACCCCTGGAGGACCTCATTCTGCCCTTTTGCTCAGAAAAATCTCTACAAAAAATCTCTTTTATTCCCTAAAAGAACCCAGTCCCCTTCCTGCCAGCCCCACGATGCCATTTCTCCCCCACATCCCTCCCCTCCACCCGCCCATCTCATTCCCACTCATGTCACGAGCTGGTCAGTTCTATGCACTGCAGTGGGCTCAGCACGCAGGAATGCTGTGAGTTTGCAAAGTGGTTTCAGCGAGACGTTATCTAATGAGGGAGGAGGAGGAGGGCGGATTAAGCCAAACCCACAGCAGCGGCTTTCAATTAAAGCGGGCAACTTGACGTCTTTTCCTTCTGACACAGCCAACAAATGCCCCGAGCAGCTGCTGGGCTCTCCCCGACCCATCAGTCCCCTCACCCTCCGTGTCCCATCAATGAATGGAGTATAGGAAATGGGTGCACCAGGAGCTGGGAGCAGTGAGAAATGGGTGAATGGATGCATTAGGAAATGGATGCAGCCCTACATGTGCCAGGGAACTCCCAGTGCCGGCTGCTGGCTGGTGAAATCGTAGAGCCAAGAGGTCTGTGGGGCCAGGACCCTACATCCTGTGCATCCCTGATCCCAAGCATCCCAAATCCTTTTGGCTCTGAGCCGTGTCTATGGTGGATGCAGCACCCCGACCGGAGGCGTGCAGGGCTGCAATGCTGCACAGCACCCACAGTGCCATGGCACCGCCTGCACCCCGGATGCAGGCACAGGGCCAGGGAGATGACGGAGGAGCCCATGGAACAGCCCCAGTGACGTCCCAGCACCGCTGCTGACGTTCGATAGAGGGAAAAGCCGTCCATAGAGCAAATAATTGGCTGGGCTGTGCAAACCTGGCTTGGCCGGTGTCTCGGGGCAGAGATCTGGGCCCCATCTGGCCGATGTTTACCTGCCTGCTGGAATCCACCCTGCAAACTTCCTCCTGGCTCGGCCCTGATAAGGCTCCTGGTGCTGGCCTGGGGATGCTCCATCCCCACCACCCTGCAAGCAGCAGGCACCCTGCGGACCGCGTGCTACCCCACACCTCATAAAGGTCCCGCAACAGCTTTCCTCTGGCAATAAGATGGATAAAAAAAGGGAAACTGAGGCACGGAGCATGTGCCACAAGCTGCAGGAGGAGCGGGGCCCCGTGCTGTGAAAGCAGCCCGTTATCGGCGTGCCGGCGTCACGCTCGGCTTCCAGGAAAGGAAGGAAGTGTGGGGTCAACCCGGCCCCCGCTGCCGCCCTTTTCCAGCAAACAATCCTCGCCTGCTGATAATGGGGCCGTGCTGCCGCCGCTGCGCAGGAATTCGGGGCTGCTGGCCGCACAACTGCCCAAAATGCGAGATTTTCCCATTTCCTTTCCTCTAAAGAGCCACTGAGGTGCTGGGGAGGCAGCAGCCTGGGCTGCACGTGGGGTGTGCGGCGGCACCGAGCGGCGCTCCTTTTCCACCCTTGTTGCCTCATACTGGTGGAACCTGGGAGTCGCTGGGCGTGCTCCTGCTCTGCACCAGGGGAGCTGACTGCCTGCACCCAGCACTGCTGCGGTGCCCTGGGAGCAAGCAGGGAGCAGGCCTTGCTCCACCCCGATACCAAGAATAATTGCATGATTATGCGATTTGGAAGCAAAGCGCAGATTAATCTCTGATCTCGTTAGACCGTGTTTCACCATCTGCTTTGTGCCTGCAGGAGAATCCTTTGCCGTGTGGTAGAGCCAGGGCCAGGCGAGGGGAATCCCCAGGTGCTGCAGGAGGAGCTGGGTAAAATCAGACACGGGTGCTTTAGGAAATGAGTGCACCAGGGACTGAGCGCATTTGGAAGTGGGTGCAGCAGGACTTGGGTCCATCAGGTAGAAGTGAGTGCACAAGGTGCAGGGTGCATTAGGAAATGAGTGCACCAGGACACGCATTAGGAAGTGGGTGCATCACATCTTGGCTGCATTAGGAAGCAGGCGCACCAAGAGCTGGGTGGAGCTCATTAGGAAATGGAAGCATCCGTCCCTGGGTACACTCGGAGAAGTGGATGCCAGCCCAGGCACCAGCTGTCATCCACAGCCAATTCCTGGAAGCCGGGCAGGATCCGGCTCTGTGCGGGGCAGAGCTGTGCTGGGACTCCTCCTTTGGCCAACAAGGGCGGGCGGCAGCACGGGGCGGCCGCAGACACCCCGCGGTTGCCCCAGGCCCAGCCCTCGTGCCAGGGCTGCTCCCAACCTCTGCTGCCAACCTCATGGCCACAGGTTTGAATTTCCATTGGGATTTCCAACTCCCAGAGGCGTGCAAAGAGACGAAGCCCAAAGCCAACTGCCCATCACCCACGGACCGTCCCTCCACCGCCGTCCTTCCCAGCGCCGCTCCATCCACCCCACATGGCAGCGCAGCCCCCCAGCCGCAGCCGCAGACAAAACCCTCTCAGTCCCGCGCTGCTCAGATGTGTGGCCGCCAAAACCCGCGAAAAGATGAAAGGGATCTCCTGGCTGACCCCATCACCCCGCGCTGCGCGCTGCTGCCCTGCACACGGAGCAGCATTTTTCCCATGCTCGGAGGGTCAGTCCCCCCCTGCACTCCCGGACAGAGCAATGCCAGGAATGTACCTGGGAAGGGCGGCGGGCAGGGGAGATGGGCAAATGCATCACTATCATCTATCATTAAAAGGCACTTCACTCATGCAAGAGCTCTACAGAACGGACCAGAGCTGCAGGGAAGCACTGAGCCTTGTTCAGGGCTGTGGTTTGTGTCCTTTCTCCCATGGTTTGCCATACGGGTGCCAGCCTGTGGTGCTGGTTTCTGGAATGAATCCTGACTCTCCAGGCACAGCCCAGGGTCCCACAGAGTCCTGGCCTGGCCGTCAGGACCAGAGGCAGAGGCTAACGGGGAAAAATCCAGGAGAAATGCACTTCCTTCTCCTCTCCTCCACCTTGACCTTGCATCACCCGAAATAATAACAAAGGGGAAATGAAATGGAAGCGAATGGAGATGGGACCCGGGGCACAGCTCAGGGCAC